GGGCCTGGGTCCGGCCGTGCAGCTGGGGGGGCTGGGGCCTGTCCCGCTGCCTGAGCACCGTGATAGCGAACAGCGGGGGCACCCTGGCGCCTGGCCCCTCCGTCCTCCGCGACGTAGAAAGGGTTTCCACGTTTCCCTGCCTGTTCGGAAAATTCAGCGGATCTGCTATTTCTCGCCCAATGGCAAGCTGAAATTTTAATAAAAACCCAAAAACCTGACCCCCGCTGCAGTGCATTCAGAACAGGGCAGTGCTGCTCAGGCAGCCCCTTGATTAAAGGCCTGGTGTGATACCAGGTGCTTGAAGCCGTGACACGTTTCCAATGTTAACGTTGTGTACTTCTGTAAAGGTGAAATTGCGTATAAAAGCTCAACGAGTACAGAAACACAGGGAAATGCAGAAATGACAGTCCCTGCCGCGCTGACTGGGAAGGAGGGGCCAGAGGAGGTAACTGGTTTGCATGGGAGCATGCGAGTAGCTGTCGGAGCAAGGCTGAACTTGAGGAGTCCCCGTCTGCTGCTGCCATGCGGACAGCAGCGTGGGATGGCAAAGAGCAAGGCCCCGCAGTGAGGAAAGCAGGCTCCTCTCACCCTATCAGTAACCGCTGCTAACTTGTGTCTGAGCTGGTCCAGCGGAGTTAAATGGAAAGCTCTATCTGAACTGCCCAGTGTAGAGCCAGCTCCTTTGCGGTCTGTGGGCTGCAGCCTGCGCCAGCAGATAGGAGGTATTCTGTGGGAATACCAAAGTCAATAGTGCTAGGAGGAAAGAAGAGGGTTTTGTTGGGTTTTATTAAGCATAAATCTGTTTTGAGTTGATGCAATGAGTCAGCAACATAAGCCTCCCCACAGAGAAAATTCCACCGCGTTAGGACAATGCAAGCAGGGCCCCAGCGTTCAGAAATAAGGCTCAGCATAAATGAAATCAGCAAATCCTTGTTTACACTGAAGTTTGGAATCAAACGCTCACATTTTTCCAGAAAGCCGCCAAGCTGGCTCCTAAACCTCCCTGTTGACTGAGCTACACCCAGAGACTGAACAGAAGAAGCGGGCAGGCGGGCGGGCTGGGGAACAGCCACAAACAGCAGGCAGCACAGGAGATACCAACTGCTTTAAACCGGATACTAAAAACACCACGGAGGAATACTTTAAAGGGCAGCAAAGCAGTATAATTTAGCAGGCTCCCTCCCCAGTCTAGGCAAAATACATTTTTCCACCAACTATCTTTCAAACCTCTCATTGGAAACAGGTTATTAACTCCAACATAACTCGCAGGACAGCGCGATACTACTGCTTGCAATCACACTGGCACTGGGAAGTCAAATATACACAGGCATCAACCTGCTGAATCATGGCACAGGCAGGCAGCCCTGAAACCCGCTCCTGCCCGTGCTGCTTTGTCATAGAGGCGAACAGAACAGAGTAAGTTTAAAAAAAAAAAAAAAACATGCTGCTAAAAGCATACCCCATGCTGTGATTTTCGAGATGTTTGCATTTAGATAAAAGGAATACAAAATCAACACAAGAGAGATAGGTAATTCAGAAAGAAAAAAAAACCCCAAACAACAGGGATAAAGGGAGCAGAAGAAACGTGTACAGAGATTTAACTGCTTTGGCAGCTGAGAAAGTGATATTTTCAGACCAGACTATGGAGTGCCAGGGCAAGGGCGATGAAAGAAAGAGGGATGGCAGATACCGCATGGCAAACGTGACATTGTCAAAGAAAAACATGTAGATGTGTTGAGGCTTTGCCGCAGGAGGTTTGCCTCGTTCCACTGATAAACACTTGAGGAGCGCGCTGTTCTCTGATTTTGGCAGTAAATTTGGAAAGGCGGAAAATGAACAGCGTGGCAAGGCTGGCAGAGCCTAAGCACGAAGAGCTCAGAGGTGAGAGGCAATCCTCAGCTTAGAAGTGAACCACAGCTTTGAATGATTGTATTTTTGGGAACTTTTCTTGCCCTGAGTGTTAGCAGACAGAGAAACCTCCCACGCATTCAGCTGGTACTTTCCATGCTTAATTCCCTCTAACCTCGATCTCCGAAGAATTCCTCCTTCCTTAATCCCTGCAGGGCATTGCCACATCGCTAGCGCTCTCCTTGCATTTCTAGCATTAGTTGTAGATCTTTTCAGACTCATTCTCCTCTGGAAAACTGGCAAGAAGTGAGTGGAAAATCAGGCAGGTCAGAGTTGCAGGATGTTAGTGACACCACACTGACAGATAGCAGGCAGTCAAGGCAGATGACCAGCGGGAGAACGCTGACTTTTGCTCTTTCAAACTTTGGACTGCAGGAGGGGAGACAAGCTCACATCTCTGTACGGGGCAATGTCCATGTGCCCTGGTACGCTTTTCATGGAAAATGCATTTCTTTACAATGACATCTCTGGAGAGCGCGCTTGAGAAAAGGACGGGAGAAGATACACTGACATAATCAAAATGGGGAGGGGGTGAAGTGTCTAGAGGAAATAATAAAGTCCTGCTGTTTTCAAAGCTAATAAACATGAATATAAGAAGTGTTATAAATTAACTGTAGTAAGAGGAAGCAGGTAAGTAGAAAAAGGAAAAAGCGACAGAGAACTAGAAGCAGAGCACTAGCAGCTGGATGGTGCTGAAGTGGAAGAAGAGAACCCGTCCACCTGGCACCATTTGCACAAGCTGGGAAGCGCCCCTGGGAACGGGAACGTTACGGAAAACCTGTGGGACCCACAAGCTCAGAGTTAGCCAAGACAAAACAACAGGTGCGAGTTTGGTCTGGACGTACGGTAGGAAAATCCTGGTGGTTTCCCTGGGTTGTATGCAGCTTTTGTGGCTCCCTCATGCCTTGCACCAGTTTGCTGGGGCACCATTTGGTTCCCACTGTGCCCCTTTCCACCAGTGCTTTCACAGACCAGATGCAGGTTTGCTTGAGAGTGGCCTTCAAACATCCCCAGAATCGTGTCCACCCTGAGGGTGTCACACTTGAGGCATTTTTATCTGAGCATGGCTGCAACACGCGCAACAGGAATTGGCCGTCAGATGCCTTCTGGTGCCTTGAGGGTTGTGCTGTTGTTCCCTCACGAGGGAAGCACAGATTACCCTTTGGATGGAAACAGAACATCCCCCGACCAGCTACAGCCTGCCAGCAGCAGCAACAGGCTGCCACCACCTCAGTGGCCTGAGTGCATCAGCGATGCCCACAACTTTTTGCGGAGGACAAACCGCTCGCTCCACACAGCTCGCTGGGAGCCAGGGCACACAGAGGGGGTGTGAGTGTTCTTGGCAACAAGGCTGAAAGAGAACGCTGTGCTGAAACAGAAAGTCTTTCCGCTTTAGCTCACGCGTTTCAGATAGCCGGGGCCGACAGTGACTGACAATAGCTGCTCTGCCCCAGCTGCTCGCGGCTCCGTGCTAACTCATCTGCGACCGCTGCCCGTACAGCAGCACACAACTTCCCCTGCGAGGCGGCACTGCCTTGCATGTGGGCGGCCGGGCGGCTGTCTGGCTCGGGGCTTGTTGGTCATTTGTTTGTTTGGAAGCAGTTGTTTTGCCAAGGAAACTTTGGTTAGTTTGTTTTGAAGAACAAAAAAACATTTTCAGTTCTCAATGGTCAAGTTTCCAAATGTCGTAAGTTTTGACAGACTGACTGAGTGGATTAATGGCAACTGAAGTTCCATTCAAATGTAGAATATCCCAGGGAGAAAGGAAGGAGGTAAATGGGTTTGTTATTTAGCGGATAGAGGGGCAGGACAACGTCCAGACTGGCTCCACGAAGCAAGGAAGGCAGGAAACCTCTTCTTCTCCCATGTCAACATGTGATTGCCTCAGGGCAGCAAGGTCCCATGGCCAGGATTATCGAGGAGCCCCCACCCACACCCTGCTCACCCCTTGGCTCCAGGGGACGCAAGTGCCTCCAGCCCTGCGTGAGAAGCCAGGCATCTGGGGCCAAATGCAGCCCTGGGGTAACCGGGCTGGCTTCAGCCCACTGCTCCTTGGCAGCTGCCTGCCTTCCCTGCCGTGGCCTCTTCTGAAACAACAGGCAAAAATCGTGGTGGAGCAGCTGCATTCCTGACATGCTGTGTAAACAGCACAAGGCCACCTCGCACCCCCGGCCCGTCCTAATCCCAACTTGCTGAAGTCAATAAACGGGGAATTAGCAGCACTTAACTCAGTGACCTCTCCGGATGCGCCACTCTTCCCCTCACAACTGTCAGCTCCTGGAGCTAAAGAGGCTGGATTACAGGAGACAAATATTTCAGTCATTTTGGTGGGTGTTTGTCTGTGTCTGACCAAAAAACCCTCATCACTCTCTTCTTTTAAGGAAGACAGAAACCCAGATGTGGTTGGTACTCTGCATGCTGGCTTTTGAGCCTTATTCTTTTACACTTCTCTACTGCTTTCAATTAAATCTTGCATGTAGTTTCACACGGAGCCCATTTCTCTTTATATCACCAGCGTGCTGCCCTCCGTGTCACTTCCTCCTTCACGCTTGCATGGCTGCGCCGTGGCTGGAGCTGGGCTCCTGTCCCAGCTGAAAGCAAATTGACTAAAAGGCACATGGTTTGATTTGAGCTGGACTAGCAGGACTGGCCTTTTCTGAAGCACAGACGTGTAGGTATGCTTGAACACCTTGTGAAATTGAAGCTCTAAGACCCAGTGTAATTGCTGATGAAGGCAAATTTGTGCTGAAATACTCCACTGTCAATCAGCATGGCCAAGGTGGGGCATTCGTCCTATTCAGTTGCCCTTGCTATGGAGCATCATCTTCTGGTAGATGGCCCAGGTGGAAAACTGAGCTTGGCAACCTCTTAAATTGCCACCAAGAGCTCTGTAAGTCAGTAATGTGCAGCAAGGACTTGCTTCTGAGAAACAACCCTCCCATGGAAAAACTCTTCCTAGAAACAGCTCCTTCCCCACCATGTGTGAGATGCGAGGAGGGGCGCATGCCCACAGGGAGGGTCTGCAGCCAACCAACAAGGCTTTCGTGTGCACTCACTGTATCCCTCACACCCACTCGGTCATAGGCTGGAGCTGCAGGGCAGAGTGACTGCACATTTAGCTCCCCCTCCAAAAACAACAGTAGTGCTGGAGAATCCCTGCTTGGGGTGGTGGTCTGTGCCAGGGGTGGTCCATGCC